TAGCTGCCTGGTCATTCCGTCCCCCGCCCGTGACGTCTCGCCCATCTATTGGTCTGATTACACACGAGGTTCAGAGCCGGTCACGCTGAAGGCCGTTCCCGAAGCGTCCTCTGACGCAGCTCGAGTTCCTGAAGAGGAACACAGAATATATTTCTGATGTACAGCAAAAGATAATTGAGCGTCACAAATTAGAAAGTCACTTTAAGAAAACAGCTAGAGCAGTGAAAATTCCCATTCCCACCATCAGGGGAATAATTAAGAATTTCCAATCAACAGAAAATGTTATGAAACTGCTTTTAAAAGTAATGCATTACAATATTGCGTTACTCCCTAAAAAAGTAACTAATTACGTTACTTAGTTACTTTTTATGGAAAGTAATGCGTTACGTTACTTTTGAGTTACTTTTTAAATCTGGGCAGGGCTTGCCTGATTGTTTTTAATATAAAAAAGTCCTTCTTTTACAAATGTAAAAGCCCTTTCACAACAAAAGTGGAATGAATACGCCTCAGGCTGAAAGAAATGTAAATTCACGTCTGTACAGTAGAGGGCACAGCTTAAACAAATGACATGAAGAATGTGATGCAGGAGAAGAAAGTTCAACGCTATTCAGCAATAACAAAAATAAAACACAAATGTGTAATTTTTGCTTATTAGTATGGTTGAATTGAATTTAGTAATTTTATGTGATTTTGTCATTTACAATTTAAAATATTAGTTTTAATTTTAGTTTTATTGCAGTTAGTGTTCCTAGTACTTCACCTAGTTGCCAAGGCAAAATAATAAAAAGTTAATCTGATATTTATATTTTATTTTATTTCAACTTTACTTCAGTTAACAAAGATGTTTTAATAGTTTTAGTTAACAATACCACCACTGTTATTATTATTATTAGAGTAATTTAAAAATGTTTTTTTTAGAACGTTCTAAAGTAATACTGTGAACATTCTGCTGAATTTCTTCCTTTGTGTTCCACTGAAGAGAAAATTTAATAATTTAATTGTATTCCATAGTAGATGTATTGATAAATTATTGGTATTAAATAAAAATACTTTGTATATAATCAGTGTTGGGGAAAGTTACTTTTAAAAGTAATGCATTACAATATTGCGTTACTCCCTAAAAAAGTAACTAATTACGTTACTTAGTTACTTTTTATGGAAAGTAATGTTACGTTACTTTTGAGTTACTTTTTAAATCTGGGCAGGGCTTGCCTGATTGTTTTTAATATAAAAAAGTCCTTCTTTTACAAATGTAAAAGCCCTTTCACAACAAAAGTGAAATTAATATGCCTTGGGCTGAAGGAAATGTAAACTCACGTCTGTACAGTAGAGGGCGCCGCTCAAACAAATCACATGAAGAATATGATGCAGGAGAAGAAAGTTCAACGCTATTCAGCAATAAAAAAAATAAAACACAAATGTGTAATTTTTGCTTATTAGTATGGTAGAATTGGATCATCAAAGGTCAGTAGCAAAGACATTGGTTAATAAAATGAGATTAAATACATAAATGATATTTGTCTTATTTAACATATTTAATTATTGCTGGTTTGTATAATATTCTGAGCTTGCATTTGACTGTTTTTATTCATTTTGAGGAACACTGAATCTATTTTTGTGCAGGTGAGATGAGTAAATGCATGTTCACATTTAATCTAGAACTGCAGTAACATTATGTTCACACAGCACACACAACGCCTCTGCATTTACTCCCGATTTCTCTCAACATGGCAACAAGAGAGCTATCAGTCAAGACATGGCAACTGTTCTTTATCAAATCTTAAATTGTCTGATTCGGTCTGATACCCTACATTACCAAGGGTGCCAATAATTCTGACCACGACTGTATTTGTGCCGTCCATTGCTATGGTGCAAGAGTGTTCCCTTTATAATCATTAAAAGCTGTCACTCATCTTAGTTCATCACAATCTCAAAAAGTTACGTTATAATATATGAAGTTCTCTATGCTGCACAATGAATCTCTTATTTACATCGTGTCTACACTTTGTTGTAATGAGATGATTCGTGCTGAACACAACACCTGAACAAAAACTGCGGCGATTTGAGCGGTGAGTGGATTCTAATTTAAACGCCTCTGACTGTCTGTTGGGTTCAAGAAATCAACAGATATGTCTGTGATTGGCTACATTGCTCAACGCTGCACAAACACATTGAATAGAAACCGATCTCCAGAGCACAAACCATAACGCACTGGATAGTTTGCCAAAT